CAGAATAGGTTCAGGAGGTAGTGATATATTTGGTGCATCAGTATGAAATTTTTGAACACGATAAGGCGCCTTTTTGAATACTCGTTTAACATTTGCTACTAGTTTATCAACTTTTGGAAATTGAATACGTATTTGTTCAGCGACTCTATGTAATCCATGGGAAGTACAAGTTACGTGAACCATTTTTGTATACAACACTTTTAATGTATCGCCAGCCTTCACCATATAAGGTGCAGCATCACTTAAAAACAGCAATACATCGTTTCGTCTTATTCCGTCAGGCCATAATAAATAAAAAAAACAGCGGCGGTAAAACCGTCCGGACCTGACGGCGAAAATACCGCAGTGTGGCGAGGCCCTAATAGAAATAGGTATTATTTTTACAATTGTTGTCCATCAGGCATCAAGTGCAAGTTAATATAGGTAAATATTATTTTCCATTTATTTATATTTAGACCAAATTGACCGAAAAAGTATAAATATTAAGAAAAAAGCATTAATACGAAAAAAGTATAAAAACATGCATTTATATGCCCTAACTAGTTAAATATGCAAAAATATGCACTATAAGATTTCGTATTTTAATTATAAGTAACACAATTCAAATTTTGGTCGAATCCATTTTCTTTTATGATGTAGCAAAAAAAACATGCAAATGCATTAAATTCACAGCCCTGCTGATAAGTGAATAGATACCTGTATCTTTCGTATAATATCTTTTACATTTCTATACATATTTATATATTATATATATATATATATATAATGTATTTTATTGAATTGTCGTAAAAAAAAAGGCTAAAAGGCTAAAATCTAAATTATAATTTGTTTATTTAATTATAAAGGTTGATTTTGTAATAGGAATAAATGGAGTGTTAATGGTAAAATAAAAGTGTTCTCTAAATTAGTGGAAGCATAAATGCAATAAGGGGAAAATATACATTTTGGGTTATCAATTATCAATTTTAAATGGCTTGAAATCGATTGAAAAAATTTCTATTTAGGTTTCGATTTGTACACTGGTTTTCAATTTTTTTTCGATTTCGGTTTTGGATTTAATACCGATTTCCAATTTTTTCCGATTTTGTTCTTAATCTTGAAATCAGTTTCAGTTTTTAAACGGTTTATACCGGTCCGGTTTCAAAACACGGACTATTTACGTCCATTCTTAGTTTATTATTTTTTTTGAATCGCTGGATCGAGCGTCCGATCGCCTGTTCTGTAAAGTAAACTTTCAAAAATGTCAAGATACAAAGAGTTTCAAAAAAAAATACCGTTTTTTAAATTATATTTTCAGTTTTTAATTATAGTACAGGTATCCATTTTTTTTCGAGTCGGTATTGAATTTAATACCGGTTTCCATTTTTTTTCGGTTTCGGTTTTGATTTTGTTCTCATTTTTAACGCTATTTTTTATCAATTTACTCACCAAAAAAATAACTATTTAATGGGAGCAGGGTAAATTAGATTTGTCTATGCAGAAAAAAAATTAAGACTAACCATGCTTCAAAGTGATCTGGAGACAATAGGTACATAGTCTAATAACATTGACTTAGAGTCCAGTGGTTCTTAACCTTTTTTAGTTCAGCGCCCCCTTTATCGTAATAACTAATAACTTACTGCTAACGCGCCCCCCCCCTCATGCAAAATCAAAATTTCTTCTAATAAAGATATATATATTTATTTATTCATCAGTTTATTATACAGTATAACATTATTAATTAAAGTAAAAACTCTTATTTTTAGATAATAAAGGTTATATTTTTCACCACCTAAAAAAAAAATTTTACTTTGCTATACAAAAAGAATTACTTAACTATGAAAAAAAAATTATAAAATATAAAAATTATACCTATCAATGACTGCCCTGAGCCTGATGAGTAGCTGCTAACAAGTAACGTGGCGATGTCTGGTTCGATATTGGTCAAAGCTAAACGTAGATCATCTTTGTTACAAATGTCCAACCGATTTCTTTGTTCCGTCAAAAGCTGAACAAAAACGCTGAATCCTTTTTCAACTAGATAGGTTGACGGAAAAGAGAGAAGCAACAATTTAACTTGTTGCCATTGTTATGGATAAGTCTCTAAGCTTGATCCAGGCAAGCTCGTAACCGACCTGCTTAAAAACAAGTTGTGCCTCACAGTCGTGTTTAAGATCGATAAACTCTATTTGTAAATGAGGTTCGAGATCTTCCACTAATTCAAACGAAAATAGATCTAAAATCCAATTACAGATTTGTAACTCAAGTAGGTCTTGAAATCTTGATTTCATGTCTTTTTTGAGCTGCAAAATATGATCAGTGAAAATTAGAATTTTGTCTTCTGGAATTAAACCGTTTGCGTCTGAACATGACTTGAAATTCGGAAACTGACTCAATTCTTGACGATTTATGTTTGTTCTGTAAAGATCAAACTTAAAAATGAATGAAGAAATTATTCCTTAGTCTTTGATAAAATTCATCTTATTCCTTTGAAGCTTCAAATTGACTTCTTTCATTTTTTCAAAAATATCTGTGATGTACCCAATCTCAATTTTTTATCTCACTCATTTGTTCGAAAACTCGACGTTCACCGTAGCGATATCAATCACGCACTGCAAGGTACAGTCGACCGCGACCTCGTGAAGAGCGGGTCGGTCACTGGGCTTTACCACCTGGTGACGCCTCTGGGAGGTGCAGTCTGGACCCACCGTAAGCCCGCGGTACACGGCCCAAATGGCCAAATCTCGGGAGGATCATAAGCTGAGGCAAGTCGCCGACGAAGCTTCGTCCGAGCATCCCACCATTGATGTGCTTTACCTAATCGTGAGGCGAGAATGGTGCTTCGAGATGTGAGGGAGCCCCTCGATGTTGAGAGATTAACACCGAGCCTTCACACGTCGGTCGTGGTGGACACTGCCCCGACCGGATGGTTTCGGAGTGGCAGTTTGCAGGAGCATACTTTGGGATACAAAGACCTCACGCTTGGTCAGGGGAAAGCTGCCGAGTGACGGAGCCTGGCGGACTCGTACCGCGACAGTCGGCCGAGAAAGCACGGCCCCTCCTTAGCGCCCACCCAGCCTATCGTTGGGGCTATATGCAGCGAAGGTTGTCCGTAACCAAAAACGGAAAGCAAAGTGGATAGATTACGACCCCACCATGGTGGTGAAAAGCACCTGTATGCCCTAGCTGGTTAGGTATTGGTACGGGCGCACCGGAGTATTCCTCCGTATGGGCCCGGTGCTCGTGGTCCTTAGACGACGTGCGGTCGCCCGTCTGTCGACCACGAACACGTCAGCCATGATTCGTCTGCAGTGTTACGGGTCGGCCGTCGGCTCTTGACTAGCACCTAGTGCTAATATAAGGTCCGCGGTTGTAGCCGCGAAACACCAAAACCCGGGAGCTTCATGCAAGGTACAGTATACAATAGTCCAGTTATGGTTGAAAATGTAAAAATAAATTTATTATAAACAAGACGTTCCCGATACGTAAAATGCGATTAAGTGCTTTTACATATAACAAATCGAGGAATATTTTCGATTTTTTTTTTAACTTTGCGCAGTGAGCGAGTGGCAACGAAGACATCACTGTTTTCGCCACAGTTTAGCCGATGAAAAATATAGCATATTGAGTATTTATGGGTTAAAATCATGGCAGTGAATTTAATGCACTAAAAAAACATACAAAATGTTTTAAAAATGTCAAAACAATGCAATAAAATATGCACTTAAAATGCAAAAAATGCAATATAAAATGCCAAAAATTATAGTATAAAATTCACTTAAAATGGTTTTCCATTTAATTTTTACATTTATATTGATATTATATAGGATATTAATAAATATATTATACATTAGTAGGTACATTATACATTTTACATGCATAAAAATGTGATAATTTAATAAAAAAAAAAAATAAAAAATTATTGATTGAAATTAATTTTGTTTTAATGCTATACTTACACCTAAAAAAAATTTTAACATTTTACTACTAACTTAGATATATTTATTTGCCGGTACCTTATTCATCTTTGGTCCTTACTATTGCATTGGACAAAAAAAAAATGTTTTTCAAACATGTCAATTGACGGAATTCTATTAAAAATACCGGAAAATGAACTAAAAAAGGAAAATATGACATAAAACTGCAAAAAAATACCCAAAAAATTAAAATCGTCAAAAAATACAAAATTAAAGTTTCATAAATGGATTCGTAATTATATAATTGAAATTATGTACCTACTTACAAAGCTACGTTTCACAATCATCAAAACAAAAAAAAATGCACTTTCCTACAAATTCACGGCCCTAGTTAAATAATCTTAATTGAAAACTTCAAGTAGCTATAATTTCGAAACTAAATTCGTGAGCCAAATTCTGATTTTTTCAACATTTTTTTCACCCATTACTGTAAGTTATTATTATAAGTTTTTAAGTTTTGCTGCTTGGGTACCTAAATACCTGATGATTATGAGCCGGTACCTAAGAAACCTACTAGGACTATCAAAAGCTGATGTGCTAATTCTGCTCACCAAGTGCTAACTCATTGATAATTCTATTGACTGTTTTGAAGACTGAAATACTAAGTCAACTTAATTTCAAGATTCCTAGCTCTCAGTTGCAATAATTTTATTCTTTTCTCATATCCCTTAGCACCACTTTGTTCCTCTCAGTATTAAAAAGTGCCTTGTAAGTGAATAATAATAATCAATGTTACAACAATAAAAAAAAAAAATGTATTTTATCATATTATTTAATATACATATTGAGTTGTATTGTTTTGAATACATTTTTTAAATTGTTTTTTCATTATTTGTATGTATACTAATATATTTATAACTTTATTAATAAATAACAGTTTTAAGGATTTTCTTTAACAAAATAATCAGTCTTTTTTTTTAAGAATATAAATTATTAAGAAACTAATGAAAATAATAAACAAATTTAAATTTACAATAATGTATTTTTCTAAAAAAAATGTTTATATAAATTAAATAGGTATGACAATTAGTTAGCTAGAATTCACTATTTATGATAAAATACAGCCCACAAAAATCCAACTGCAAACAAACACACTAATAGTAAAATATATAATGAATACTTAACGTAACGCATATGTTGGGAAAGGACACGATTCGAAATTTCTAAAGTAGTAACCTGAAAAAAATTTTTGTTTACATTTAGCAAATTCATTTCTATTTTTTATTAAAATAGTATTTACTATTTACTAATATTATTACTATATAATTTAGTATTTTACAATATGTACATATAATATTATATTGGTGGGACATTTTTTATGCATAATACTGTAGATCTTTAGCAATAACAGTCTGTCAAAAAAATAAACTGTTGGAACTGTTAGAAGTAATATAGCAATTAGCAGTCATTACTTATTTCACTCTCTTAATACACGATCAAACAGTTTGCGCAACCACTATGTTTGCGCAAAAAATTTTGATCCCGACCGAAATACGATCAAACCGTTTGCGCAAACCTCAAACCAGGCCATACACTCTCAAAATGTGTGCACAAACACAGTCGGTTGCGCAACTATTTGATTGTGTATGGGGGCCTTTAAGTGGAAGATGTTAAACTTTCTGAGTGTTAATAATATATGAACACTATTAGGTAATTTAGCAATAACAAATTTCGGTGATTTTGAAGAGTGGTGTCCAAACTTGAACTGGTGAGATCTTTCTTGTATTAAATTTTTAAGCTTTTTTAGATAAACAAAAATTTTTTTATCAACATTTATAGAAAAAAATGTGAAAAAATTTATAATGCCCATAAACATCATAAAATTAGTCTAAATACAGTATAGACCGCTTATAACAATCTTAAGGGACTTAAAGAATTGCATTGTTATATCCAAACTTTGTAATATCTGGATTATAAAAATATACCACACATGAGATATAAAATCAACTAAGTACAAGGCTGGGAATCGTTCTACTTGGAATATCGTTATATATGGCATTGACACATTGTACTATGAAGATTCTACTATACATCTATACATTAAAATGTTGAACTCCGTTAGTATTATCAGCACATAGCCCGTGTCGCTCACCAAAGATACGTATATTGTAAAACGTTATCTCATCACCAGTCAATATTATGAATCATCAAAGTGAACACATATTTGTCGAATGGGGAATTGATACCCGCAACCAGGGCAATGTGTATGATGTCAACTAATCGTTGTTTTAACATATAATTTCATGAGACTTTTAACTTCTAACACATATAAAAAAAACTGTGATTATGTAGTTTAAGATTGTAAACAATATCTGGAGTTAAAGTATCTTAAATAATTTATACTTATGTAAATTATAAAAATGTACAACTAGTTTAAAAAGAATAAAATAATTTTGAAAGTTTAAAATTTAGAGATAATCTACTTCAAATCAAATTGTTTAATAATCAAAAAAAAAAACAATAAATATATATTGAAATAAAAATACTTTACCATATTCATTAATTTATTAACTTTTTCCTCGAGATCATTATTATGATTCTGGTCATAAGAATTCCAGGTATTTACTGTTTCATTTTCATTAGAAATTTTACATTTCAAAATGTGTTGTTCTTTGGTTTCCCATTGTATCTAATAGACAAATTCAAAATACATATTTCTTTTTTGAAATTATCTTTTAAAAAGTTTAAACATTTTCCATCATACAATACAAAAAACTTATAAATTTAATATTTTCCAGTATTAGTTTTAACTGTTATACAATAATGTTAGGGGGGGGGGGAATTTTTTTAAAAACAAAATATTGAAAAGTCCAACCCCCCCCCCTTATTAATCAGATCCCAATTTTACAATTAGAATAACAAAATTTAAAATATTTAGGATTTCAGTTTAGTATTTATTTTAATACATATAAATTAAAAATACCTTCCACATTTCTGCCATATCTTTAGTATCTATAACAGGAATTACAAGTACTAAAAATTTATCTCTCATTACATCAGTCTGTTTTATTGACATTCCATTTAATACAAACGTCACTTTTATACTTTCTTGAGGTATAAGTGTACCTGTGCTTGGACGAACTTTATACTTAACAAGACAAGTAGTTTTTATCTACAAAAATATAATTAAATGTAAAAACATTAAACACCTAATTAAAACTAATATTTCAGTTACTTTGAACGCAATTGGATCTTTGTAATCATTTATAAATGTGAGGCTTGCCATTAATTCATTATAACCATTGCTGTTATCTTTAATAAATGTAAGTACTTCGCTAGGGTTTATTTTCAGTTTAAGCTCTAAAACATAATAAATAAATAATTTTTGTTAAAACAAATTTCTTCAAATATTTACCTTTGGGCATATACACTATATCGCGAATGTCTCCTGACCCATTTTTCACTTCCATTGTTTCTGCAAAATGAACCTAAAAATTAAAATATTGGTTTTTTTTGTTTAACATAGTTGAGATTTCTTTTCCCATTATATTGAAGCACTAAAAGTTAAATAGTTTTGGGATAATAATTAATCATAAATGTTGAACCTTTTTCTTGGTTTCTTCAATTTTTTTAGTTTCTGGTTCAAAATTAAACTTGTAATTGTCTTCACCACCCCAATTGACCATTATTGATTCTTTTGATACAAATTCGCTTAAACTGTTTTTATTTAGGAATTTAATTTTTTTAACAGCCTTGGCTGGTAGCCATGTCTTGATTATTTTAAAAGCCGCTAAATAAGATCAATATTTTGTATAACTAAATTATTTAAATAGAAAATGTAATAAATAACAAGAACTTACCATTTAAAACCCATGGCATTTCATAAATTATAATGTAATTTAAAAAGGCTGGATAATACATTTTAAGTAAATTTATTAAGTAATTTGTAAATTCCATATCAAGATTACTTAAACCAGAACCCATCATATCAAAAAATATTGTAATTTGATCACCATTAGTTAACCTATAAATTATAACACTTTAAATATAATACATAGTTAAAATAATTGAATAATAAATTACCTTTCCATTCTTTCAAACCAGTACACAGCGCACTTTTTACATTCCTCAGAATCTTTAGAAGCTTTAAAATGCAATTTGCATCTAATAATGAACATAAGTTTACCATCTATATCCATACCATGAGGATACATGATTCCCTCCTCTAAGTAATCAATTCTTACTGTACCATTTGATTCACTCATTTCTAAAATTAAAATAAATAAGATTGAAAACAAATCTGAAAATATAAAACTTAAAAAAAAAAAAAAGATTCCAGACAAGATTGTAATCTCTTGTATATTTAATTATTACTTACCATTAACACCAAATGATTTTCTCCATTCACATACATTCCATAACATGGATAAAGCTTCTTCTTGATTACCTTCAGTATGAATTAAAAACCGTTGAAGCCATGCATCTGAATTATTTATTTTGGCAAGGTCCAAAGGATGAAACACTTCTGTGGAACACAGAAATAACATGCATTATATTTGAATTATAAAAGTTAGTGATATTGGTAGGTACTGAATGTATCAACAATATTATAATTAGTTGGCTAGAAAATAAAATGCCCAATTGCGACTGAACTGAACTGAAGTACCTATGTGAAATAGCATAGCATACATATATATCTAATATACTTTTGTATATCTTAAATAATATAGAGTACGTTTACCGTTTTTTTCATTGAGTTTAACTTCAAATGACTGTCTCAAAGCTGAAACGCTTTCAGTTGAAATATCCATAATGGCGTTAAAAGAAATTAATATGGTAACATTAATTTATTGTACTTAGCTAGAAACAAATAAGATAGTCAATGTTTAAACAAAAATTAAAAAAACAATTTATACAAAATTAATTTAAATTATGTAGAAATACGAAAATATTGAAATTGAACCTATTCATGTGTATTAGACGTGTAACTGTGTCACTCAGTCACTGTGTAATGTAGTATGTCTACCTATTATAGTATTATATGCTATTATCAATATTATCATTATGCGTATCATTTTAGTTTTTCACTCTCTTAAATTGTTATCATTTATTAATTTATCAATTTATCTACTACCACCACCACGATTAAAGATATATATTTAAAACATTTGCTATTATATTATGCAATGTCTACCGAATAATGTTCAAAAACAGCTATATTATTTATAAAAATAAATACAATTTTACATTTTCAGATTTTCATATTCACAACTCTCGAATTAATTCTTCTCCGACATATGTCTCACAAACGCATAACAACGTGCTCCAAGCCTTTTAATTTCTATTTATTCTGAAACCATAAAATATTACTTAAACGTAACAATTTTGTGCTCATTATGTACGATTTTAAAATTGCTTTTGGTTGTATATTTGAATATTTATAAAAAAAGGTTTTTAATAATAATATATAGGAACTAAATTAAACACACACAGGCACATTACGAGAGTTATTAAAATTATACGACTGATATCTAAGTATTTAATTCAATAGGTACATTGAGTTTTGTATTGGAAAAAAAAAAAAGAAGAAACTATTTTATAATATTATATAGAAAAGTGTAACTTTAGATCGAATAAAATGTCGGCAACGTAGGGTTGGGTAAATTACTTTTAAAAAGTAATAAAATTACGTTACTTGTTACTTCAAATATTTTTATTTAAATTACATTTGCATTACCTAAAATTATTTTTATCACGTTACATTTCTTTTTCATTAATAAAGTAGTGCGTTACAAATAACGTTACTTTTTTTTATCATTTTATTTTTAACCATATTCAATTCATATGATTAAATTATTATGTATATATTTTACAATCATAAACCTAGTGATAATATACCTATTATAGTATTATGTACGAATGTACAATCATCTCATCTGTATAGGTAATCATAAATCATAAATCATAATTATTAATTTTTATTAAATTTTAATTTTAAACCGAACTCTTTTCTTTCTGCTAATAAACTGATAACATTTATTCCTGGAATTTTTATTAATATTGTCTATTATCGGAATCAAAAATAAATATAATTGATTTTTAATTTTTCTGGGATATCCTATCGGTTTGTTTTTGTAATACATTATCAAAACTATTATTTTAATAACGTGGAAATTAACGAGTTAGTGCGTTACTTCATAGAAACTATTTTTCAAAAGTAATTTTTTTACAATTGCGTTTACTTTAATTAAAATGTAATGAAATTACTGCAGCGTTACTGAAAAAGTAATTGCGTTACAGTAATTTGTAATTTGCGTTACGTTCTACCCAACACTGTAACATATTACATATAATATGTAATATGTATAATATATAAAGTTCTAAAATACCTACACCATCAAGCTCTATAGGACATAAGTAGACTATATAGGTACCTAGATTATTATAAATTATAAATTACCTATTTTATTATGCACTATGTACATATATAAATATAGAATATTAGAATTTACTTCAATTTGGAATATACAGTGTGATCACGATATTAGGTACCACTGAATATCTCAGATGGGTGACTTTGTATTTAAATGGGGTTTTCGGGAGGTGATAGGGAGCACTTAAATACATATTTTCAGATCAGTTTCAAATTTTTAGGTCACTCGGTACGCGCATGCACAATACAACTTACTTTTTTTTAAATGGCAACCCCAGTTTTTTTATGCAGATTCGGGTAGAGTATTTTTTTTAAACATTGTATAAAAAGTTTTTTTCTTTTCAAAACTGACCAAGTTAGAGTAGGTATAAGTCAAAAATTGGGTTTATGCATAATATGTGTTAAATGCAATTTTCATTTATAACCACTGGAAATAATAAAATAAGTGCCAAATAAATGTTTAATGGTGGACGAGCAGACTAAGGCGTCGGTTGCGACGCGCATCGTTGCCGGTTCGAACTCGGCCACGGGCGACATTTTTCTTTTGGAAATCACGGTGTCCGGTGAGAGAGGCAGTCATCCCTCAACCGGGCATGGCAGATACCTACGGGTTCCCACTTAAAAATTCTGCCAAAACAAACACACACGTAGGTATCTGCCATGCCCAGGAGGGGATGTCACCATGTCGGCCTCTCCGGACACCGTGACTACCAGAAGAAAAATTCCGCCCTTGGCCGAGTTCGAACCGGCGACGGTGAGCGTCGCAATCGACGCCTAAGTCCGCTCGGCCACTCGGTCCACCATTAAACAATTATTTGGCACTTACTTTATTAACTCCAGTGGTTATAAATGAAAATTGCATTAAACACATATTAATCATATTATGCATAAATCCAACTTTTGACTTACTCTAACTTGGTCAGTTTTGAAAATAGAAAAACTTTTTATACAATGAATGTTCAAAAAAAAAATACTCTACCCGAATCTGCATAAAAAAAACTGGGGTTGCCATTTAAAAAAAAGTAAGTTGTATTGTGCATGCGAGTACCGACTTACCTAAAAATTTGAAACTGGTCTGAAAATATGTATTTAAGTGCTCCCTATCACCTCCCGAAAACCCCATTTCAATACAAAGTCACCCATCTGAGATATTCGGTGGTACCTAATATCGAGATCACACTGTATATTATATAAGTTCAAATTATAGCCCTATGCCAAGACTATAAGGCTATAAAGTTCTACCTATTTACTAGTTTGTACTCTATAGGCCTTCTATAGTTCTATGATCCGAATCTAAGAGTTTAAGACCCAGGTGACACGGGATTCAGGATACGTCTTGAAAGAAGATATATAGATAAGAATATAAGATCCTTTTAGTCTTTATGAAGTTTATATTGTTTAGGTGGATACTGGGTAGTACCTAGTTACATTGTTACATACCTAATATTATAATTCATACGCCACGAGGATTAGGTAGTCACGATTTAAGATACATTGGTTTACCTACTGTCTAGTTACCAAGTCAACTTGATGTCTTGATAGTATAGTGTGGGAAGGGGCACCAACTGGTAGTCACAAATAATATTGAAATAAGCTGATTCAATCCATTAAATTGTTTTGAATTCATGTCACATAGCCATTAACCATGATTTATTGATCATGTTTCATTCAGTAATAAGTTCAACGCACCTCACAGTAGGTACGCTTACCCTACTATACAGTCTACTGTTATTATAAGTACCTTCTACTCCAGATTTTAGTTTTTCTTAATAAGAGTATGTATTACCGACTATCGTGCGTACATGAGAGCGATACAATGTATTATTATAGTTTTATATTATGCATATAATATTATACACAGCGTCCAGTAGGCTTATCGTTTATGTGCCCATGCCCCATAGCCTATGTATTGTATAATATTTGACATTTACCTAACCCTTTTAATGTTTGAACTCTAAACGACTAAATGTCAAGTAACTCAACTACTCAAGTTTGAAGTTGTTATAAATTACCTATATACCAGCAACGCGTGCCTGTAAATTTAAAAACTTTCTAGATACGACCAGACGTTATATTACGTTAGTTGTTCATTTAAATATATTATATTGACGCCATATGTAGGTATATTATAAGCATGGTCAAGTCCGGATTAAGACATTTTGAGGACCAGGGCCCAAAGTTTTAAATAAGGCCCCTGTACGAAAAAAAATATAATGTATATATTATGTGGGTACCTGTTATAATAAATATACATATAGGTATTATAAGCTATTTTCCTCGCTAAGAAATCATCGATTTTTTTATAGGTGATTTATGCAGTGTTATAGCCTATAACGAAAAAAGTAATGGACAAATCTGAGGCCCCTAAATAAATTCTAACTATCGAGGCCCTGGGGCCATTGCCCCCTGGACCGCCCCCCCCCCCTTAGACCGGGCTTTAGCACGATTGAGGGTTGTAACTTGTAGATATACATCAGTGTTACACTGCCACATTGGTACATATAGCCAAGGTACCCTGTAGCTTATAATTATGTATATAAGTTATAAGTAGATGCTACAAATATTTTACTTTTCATTTTTTCATTTTTTTTATTAGTAGAATCATTATTTTTTTTAATTAAAAAAATGAGTCCTATAATTATTTTAGATTCTGAGCGGAGCAATGAATGTATAGATTCTATGATGAACTGTTTTAGATTCTGAGTGAAACGATGAATGTATTGATTTGATGTGTGTTTATTTATTTTTTTTTTTGTGTCTGTGTACACGATAAGTAGTCGAAATAATGCTTCGATTTTCGACTTCAGTATCTTGTTCGATTGGAAAGTGAATATCGTTGGTGCATTGAGGAGGTCAAAATTTAAATTTCCCAGTAGTTTTCAAAAGCGCCGGGAAAAACAAAAGAAAAATTAAGGAAAAACGGTAGTTTTTACGCAAAATCTGTTTTCGAGAAAATCGATTTTGGTTTTTGGTGTAACTTTAAAACAAATGACCGTAGATACATGAAATTTTCAGTGGTTGTTTATATTTGCATTTTCTATACACGATAATATTTTCAAAATATTTTGATTTATTTGAACTGTTTAGGGACATTTTCATTTTTCATTTTTTTTTAGTTTTTTTTCTAGAAATATCAATAAAATTTTATTTGTTGGTTAAAAAAACTTGAACATTTTATAGAAGGCTCCTAGTATATTGTTTCAAAGGCAGATGAAAAATATTAAAAATCGTTAGCCACAGTTTTTTTTTATAAGCATTTAAAGTTCAAAACTTGACAAAATATGGAAAAATCACGAAAATTAGCAAATTATTTTGAGTTAAGAATTCGTAAAAATTTTTCTTTTTAAATCTAAGATTTGAAAATCTAATACAAGATTACTCATAAGTTTGTCTACATTTATCAATAAAAAAATCTCTACCGGAAAGTCAAATTAAATTTTTATGAGCTTTTGAAATACAAATTCTTACAACATTGGATATTCACTTGATTTCTCATGTAGCGATTTCCTTAGAAGAAAAACGGTTCTGAGCGAAGACGGTATGTCAGTCTAGGTTTAAGACATTATATATATATATATATATATTAGTAACCGATTGGGATTATGGGATTGGTATGTTGTTAAGAAAGACTTCTGGGCAGGGAGGGAGACGAAGAGTGAATGTAGTATGAATGGATTTTGATTGGTTGACTTGAACTCGCCATTTATCATACCAGACAGACATTAGGTCAAGGTGGTTTTGAAGGTTTAAAGAAGCAATGTGAGGATCTTCATGTACTGATATAATTGCCTTATCATCAGCAAATTCCGCTACAGATGTTGTTGGAGAGGTAGGTTGGTCTGCTGCATATACATTGTATAGTATAGGTGAAAGAATGCCACCTTGAGGGACTCCTGTGCTAATTTTTTCAATATTTGAAAAGGAAGAGCCAAACTTGACTTGGAAGTGGCGATCCGTGAGGTAAGATTTAATGAGTAAGAAATATGTTGTGGGAAGAAAAGCTTTTAGCTTAAATAGTAGCCCTTCATGCCAAACCAAGTCAAAGGCTTGTGAGACATCAAGGAACACGCACGAGCAGTATTTTTTCTTTTCGAGAGAGAACGAAATGGCGTCGACTAGTCTATGCAATTAATGAGTTGTGGCATGAGAGGCACGAAAGCCAAATTGCGTGTTCGGAATTATGTTGTTTGAAAAAATGTATGGCAAAATTATTTTAAGAATAAGCCTTTCAAAAATGTTTGCGAAAAAGGGCAAAATACTTATAGGTCGATATGAAGAGAGATGAATATCAGGTGGTTTTTTTGGTTTTGGAAATACAATTATTATTGAAAATTTCCAAAGTTGCGGGAAGTAAATTAATCTTAGGGAGGCATTTATCAGGACCGTTAGCAGGACAATTGCTCTTTTTGGGAGGCATGTGGCAACTTCCGCAGTTATTAGATCATAACCAGGGGATTTCTAAAGGCTGTAGTTTTGAATTGCATTTTTAATATCGTTGGGAGTAAAAAATTTCGATGGAAGAGTAGGTGGAAGTGGGCTGTCAAGAAATCTGTTAACTTAAGCTGTGTGATGGGGAATTTGTATATCAGAATGTGGCGTGAAAATTTTTGCTAGGTGATTTTTTAACAATTCAGCTTTATCAGCGTCTGTAGAAGCTAATCCACCGGACGGGTTTATAAACGGAGTATTCGGAGCTTGATGTTGCAGGGCCTTTTTTGTGGCTAGCCAAAGGCTACCGTCTTTCGATGACAAATTTGCAAGGTAGATGGCTTGTGCTTGATTTTTGTGACTCGAAAGAATTTTTTTTAGAGAGTTTGCCAGGTTGTTGAAATTACGCTTGAGGGATGGGAGGCGATATCGTTGATATAGGGCCATTGCTCTGCGTTTGTTAGCTATTAATATGCGAATATATTCAGGGATCGAAGGGGAATGGTTAGAGTGCTGCCTGTGTGAAGTGCTAGCATCCCATGCTGCAGTTTGAATAACATTCGTGAAATTATTAATGGCATCATCAATTTCTTGGGTAGTTTTAAGACTAATTTTTCGATCAACCAAGTTATGGAATTTTTGCTTATCAGTGGTGGAGTGGAAAAGCTTTGGTGGACAGGAACGAATTGGAGGAGCAGCACTAACAGTTAAAAGGACAGCGGAATGGTCCGAACTAGGTTCAAGCAGGTTACTAGTCGTATAGTAAATGTTGCTCGGAGTGTTGGAAACAAAAATGTCAAGTATATCGGGTTTTTTGCGAAGTGAGGTTGGCCAATAGGTTGGTCCAGTGGGAGTAAGAGCTTTGTAGCCTTTCTGAGTTATGAAATTGTGAAGTACATTACCTCTAGGGTTGTTTGTGCGGCAGCCCCAACTGCGATGTTTGGCATTATAGTCACCGCCTATAATAAAATTATGGCTAAGTGTGCTAAAGTAATCAGCGTAATTTTGAAAGTTCATATTATGTCGTGGTGGAGAATATATTGCAGATATTGTGGTCGGTACGTTGTTGAGGTACATTAATATGGCACAAGACTGTAAATTTGGTTGACAGAAGTTAGGAAGGGCTTGGTATACCAGGGAGGTTTTAATATAAATTGCAGCACCTCCATGCGCAGTATTATATGGGTGGTTGGTTTTTAGTAGATTATACCCAGCTATGGGAATATGGGAATATTTTGTGAAGTGCGTTTCAGATATTAGAGCAACATCAATACGTTTTTCTTGTAGTACTACCTGTAGTTCATTTTGGTGATTTTTGAGGCCGTTAGCATTAAATAGGAGAATAGGTATACTATCATATGACGCCGACCAGTCACTTCTTCACAGGGCACATTGTATAACTATAGAAGTTACGTAAGTAAAATACAAATAATAGACTGCAGTTTGTCAGCCTACTTACCATATCAAATATGATAAGCTTATAATTTAAATTTAGAACCCCTAGACATATCCATAATTTATATTTTTTTATGTTTGACTGGCACTCCTCGCCATGCCACCCAGGCCAGTCCTGGGCAGTGGTACTCGATAAGTTTTATTTTGTACAATGTTGACAAGGACTTTTCATAATTCACAGATCAGGAATCTTGGTTTTAATTTCCATCATAATATTACTGAACTATATGTTTAGTATCAATTAATACACTTGATATATTTATATGAGTAAGATTAATGATAATAAAAAGTAAAACCATATTTTAAATAAGGAGTTAATAAATAAATGGTACTATATTTAGTCATTGATTATACAATTCATCAAAGCTAATATTTACAATTAAAAGGCTAAAAACAAGATTTGATCTAAATCATATTTTAATATTTCTTTAGATTAGGCATATAATATAGACATAATATATGATTTGTTTTATGTACGTTTTAAATTTATTATTGTGCAAATTAAAGGAATCAACTAAGTGTAATTCACTTAAATATATTATATCGGATATTATAATTTAAACAAAAATAAATCACAATTTATTGTACTATAAAATTATATAATACTTCATAGAAAGTTATAAATCTAGAATAAAAAATATTTTTAAAAAAAGAACTCGGAAGCTTAAGTAATAATTAAATAATTGAGTAATTTAAAATTGTGATGGTAATTTCACTAATTAATTAAATTGACTAAATTTATATTTAAAAAATATATTATATAATTATCTATTACACAACTTAACGAATTAGGTAGTAAAAATATTAAAATAATAAAGCAAACACAGGAACACCAAAAAAATATTCTAAAACTAAACTCATTATTACTTTTTTTGTTCTTCAATGTCAATAGTTTGCTCATCCATGCTATAACCAGTAATGCTGTCAGGACTTTGTAATGAGGCATTGTACAACGGATTTGCAATTTGTCTGTCACTAACAGAAAAACGAGTGTTGTTGTATATATTATCTGTCTGTAAAATAATATAATATAAACATTTAGTATGAAAATATTATGATATGACAGATTGCACACAACAACTAATAATAAATATATTGTTATCTAAATTTATTTTAATTATCTTTAAGTAGACCTCTTAGTTATAAAAAAATGGTGTAATTGAAGTCTGAACAAATTTATTTTTTTACGTCTATAGGCACTAACAATTTGCTGCCCCTATAATAGGTAAACAAGTTATAATACCCTCTCTAAAATACGATAGACAATAGTACTTAAATTCGTTTGAATTTTTAGACTATTTTTTTCATGCTTTTAGTCATTTAGACTACTTTGGAAAAAATTCAATGGATGTCCACCAAATTTTAATAAAAATTATAATAATATGATATTTTTATAAATTATGAACAATCATTAATAAAACAAAATTAAAATCATTGTTCGGAATATTAAGTATAACTTTAAAGTTGACAACATTTTTATAATACTTTCTTTTTATTATAATAGGTTTATAAAACAGATGTTATATGAAATATTTGTATATAAGTACATAACATAATAACTAATATTCTACTCTTGTAACAATCTTAATAACTAGAGTCGCAAGGATGGAAACAATCAATTATGTAAAACTATGTAGATTGTAGATTTGTATTTATTGTACACAAAAATGTACCTATTAGTGTAAAATTCAAATAAAATTTATAGTCCAAACTGACTATACTCCTTTCAAAAGAGAATATACCGCTTTTGCAAATGTCGAATGATTCGATTGGTGCTTCAAGAACCATGTGATCAAGCTAAAAATGGGAAATTGTTGGGGAATGCGCACTGCCGACCAGTATATTCTCTTTTGAAAAGGAGTATAGTAAAAAGTGGTGAAGAATGAGGTTAGCTGCTTACTCTGCCTAATGGAAATCCACCTCTGATTGAAGTTAATTAAATAATAATTTTTCTATATTTACCTGATAAATATAGTCTGAATCAGTTTTTAAAGATGAAAATGATGGTTGATGAGGTAATGAAACAGTATCGTCTTCAACTCGATCATCGTTTTGTGCTTTATAAGAAAACATAATGCTTGATTGTGATACACTACATTAAATCAAATAAAAAATTAATAATAATATAAATTTAATAGCGATTATAACACTTTTTTTTTTATCTTAAATAATATTTACCTAAAGAATGAGCTCAAAAATGTTATGTAGACTAGAGGTGTAAATAGTGTAAAATATAGAAACGTTGTTACATCAACAATACAAAGTCCTTCTGTAATTTTTAGTAACAAAAATGCACAGCCTATAGAACCAATCCCATTTAATTGTGCTAAAAGTGATACATATACATAAAATGACCGGTTAACTGAAAAAAAAAAAAATTGTTAATCATTAGGAATAAATACCCAATATTATAAAATATTGAAAATATATTGTAAGAGGGGGGGAGGGGGGGAGAGTAATCCATTCTAAAGAGTAAAAATTAGGAATTTTATATTTCAGTTCATATGGGTCTTGTGAATGTGTTGAAAGTAAATGAAAATTAGTGTGTGTAATTCGTAGTACCAATCACGTTGTATAAGGGCATAATAATAAGTTTGTCATTTTACATACGCCCATGAGGCCATGCACAAGTCACCAAATACTACTTTATAAAATTAGGAAATTTTTTTTCAAAAAATACTACCAGTGACTTAAATCACTAAGCTCTGTAGGATGTTCTGATTTAAATTTTGAAAGCAGATTTGAATTCTTCTCTAAATTTACTATGCGTTGACTGTAGTACATTTATTATATTCTATATCAATGTATTTAAATTTGAATTATGAATATGATCTATTTTTACTCTTTTTGTTAAGAAAATTTGAAGAAAAAAAAAAATAAAAATCAGAAAATGAAATTGTCAAAGCATAGATAATTTAGTTGCAAATTCAAATCTGCTTTCAAATATAATATCAGAACAGCAAATTGTGCGTAGTGATTGAAGTCGTGAGCTATGTTTTCGACCGAAAATTAATCTAGACCGTGATTTGGTTGAATCCTTTGTGGCGTCAAAAGCACAATAATCTATGTATAGGCGTATTTTTAATTCATTTTTTTAAATTACGCTGAGTAAAGGTAGTCACTAGTCGCAATAACTGAATTTTTTATTTATTTCCGAACAGTTATATGGTTAGGTAGTCGCGAAAACCGATAAATGCCAGACAGGTAAATGTACAAGATGAATTTATTAATAATATATCACTGTAAACCAGGGTTGGGCAGTATCAAAGATACAATTGTATCTTGTATCTTGTTTCATGATTCATAATTTTAAATTAACAAGTATCATGGTATCATGATACATTTTATACTATAGTACCATGTATATTTTTTTGCCAAAAGATTCAAGATACTATTATTGTAAAAATTTGTACTGAATAGTACCAAACCATTAGATAATTTTGTCAACGAGAAAATTTCCAGGTGCAATCGAACCAAAATTAACGATAACAAAAAAATGTACCACACTATCTTATAAATTTAACATAATTTGATAATTTTCTTTAAAGGCAATCAAGATTTTATTTATAAAAATAACATTTATTTTAAACTAACCATAACTATTAAGTCCATAAGACCATAATAAATTTCATTAATTTATTCATTTTTGACCAAAAGTCTATAAACAATATTATTATACACATAAAGCAACTATATATAAGTATAACATAGATGTAATTTTTATGTAATTTATTAATTTTGGTGTATTTATATTATATATGTGATGTATTAGTTATAAATGTATAATGTGTATCTATTGATTTATTCTATTATATTTTAATATAATTATGACTTTATAAGTATTTATAAATACTATTATTATGTATTTATTATGTATAGACAGTAGAGTGAATTGTGTAGGTATAGACAGACTTGAGGTAAATAAAATTTGATTGGTAATATAAAAGTTGCATGTATCTTGTATCTTGTATATTTTCTACATTCACAATGTATCTTGTATTTTGATACACTAAATGCATGTATCATGATACTTTTTTTTGGGTATTTTGGCCAACCCTGCTGTAAACACATTAAGTTTTTTTTGCTCCATAAAGAAACTAAATACATATGGGTAGCTAAAGAAACTCGTTAATACTAATAATAACAAAAATATTAACCTGGTAATGCAAGTTTCTCTCGAAGTCTAGTTTGAGGCAATACCAATATGAGCAAATACAGCTGTAAAATAAAATAAATTTATAAATAATTGATGAATATCTATTTTAGATTAGTTTACATATTCAATATATTACCGTAGTAAAAATGACAGAACTAATTAACCAAAATACAATACCACCATGACCAAATAAATTTAAATCTTTCGAGTTGATTCTAAAAATGGAGTCTGGCATAAAAATTTCCAATGCTCCTTGACTAGCCGAGTAAGCTAATGAAATAAATGATGTTGTAATTAGTACATATCTTATACTGCTTCTACTTTCCATATGACCTGTAATAATAATAAATATAAAATTGGTAATTTATTCTAATTTATATGACTAATCTCAAAATTGTTTAACTGATTACAACAGCATTTTATAAAATGTCTATAACTTTTCTATGATATCAATTGTATTATAAATAAATTAAAATAATTGTATTTTCACTTAAATTACTTAAAAATCAAATGGAAAAATAAAAATGTTTGTTTTACTAACCAAAAGCTAAGGCAAAGACTACCACACTCATTTCAGTAGCCAAAAAGAAACATTTGACTAAAATCCAAAGTGTTATATTGATGGAATCAGCAGCCAAATTACTAAAATTCAGTGTCATTGAAATTAGGCATCTTAGTATACTTGTAAATACATTGAATAAAACCTAAATATATTGTTAAACAAATATTAGTAAAATTGACACTTTTTGTTAAAATAAACAAAGGTTTTGTAAGGATAATAATATAAATTGTTTACCAAACAGTAGAATGTAAAAAAAATAGGACTATTAGCAGCTCGAAGTTTTAATCTGGCACGACTAAACTTGGTCACTAAGTACATCATGAATATTAAGTTCGGAATAAGTATTGCTACATCCCATACACGAACGCTTTAAAATAACACAATAGATACATAAATTTAAATATTATTCTCATTCATATGGTAAATACTAAAATACTACTAAATAGTGTCTGACAATAATAGTAAGTATATTATTTCACTATCTTCTCAAATAAAAATAAAAGAGCTTATGATAACATATAAAAATTCTTTTGAAGTAAAATAAGAATAAAGTATAATATAAACCTAAAAATATTTGATTAGTAATTACAATAAGTTACTAGTTAGGTAATAAAAATGCATTAATTAATATAAATTATATTACCTAATAAAAGTTAATATTACATTTTTTAATTGGTTATATTAGCAGTTGGATGATAAAAAAGCTAAAATTTGAAAATGGATTTAAAAGTTATTTATCAGCAAAAACTTGATGATCTAGCTATAAGCTAGTTCATAACACCTAATCATTTATGCAACAGTTTACAGTAGTGTGGGTATTTGTATGTTTTAAGTCTATCATATTATATTATAGAAGACATTACAACAAATTTAAATTTGTACCTTTTAAACGTATTTGAACAATCTATACTCTTATTCTGAATAGAGTATAGTAAACATATTTTACTGTATAAGCCAAATAGATACTATATTATAGTATATATAGTTTACAGTGGCGGATCCAGGGCTTGATTTTGGGATAGACAAAAGTATAAAATGTACAAAAATTGACTAAAGACAGTGTAAAACAAAGGGTAACTAAAGTCATTGTCCCTCCCCCCCACTGGAACAGCCATTGATAGTTTATAGATACTTATACAGTTATACAGTTATACAATCATTACTTAGTAACTAAAACAAAATTAAGTCTTACTTGATACTTGGTATATCCATGTAAAGAATCAGCTTACACACATGTTCTTCGTCTATTGAAGTACTGTTGCTCATTGTATTAGTTGACAATCTGTTTGTTTCTAAATTCTGAGGCCCTTTCATAACTATGTAGTTAATTTTTTGTCGGATAAAATATCAATTCAGCTAGTACATTCAGTTTTAATACAATAAATAGGTTTATAAATAAATATATAACTCGATAATGACTTGTTGAACAAAAAAATTGTCTTTCACAAAATGAAATAGGACACAATATGTACTTGAAAAATAGTTTAATTTGGATGTAATAGCAATTAATAAGCTATTGTATTAAATTTGAATTGTGAATTAATTACAATCAAATGATAATACTTGCTTAATTTCCTACCATAATTAAATAATTTAAACAGTAATTGTTTCATTACACACACACATATCGTATCAATATAAAATACTGACATAATGTGCAGCGTTCACTTCATATCGTTCACATCTTTAACATTCGTCATTCACAATATTGAATATTTTGTTATTTATTTCACAACTTCAAAACTCGCCAGAGAGAAAAAATATTATCTTTAAGTGATAAAGCGACCAATTTTTTGTTGTTTTAAAATTGATAAAAAAAAATATCTAATTTTATACAGTGTAACCAAAATAACCATTATATTTTTGAATGTTTTTTATTTTTATGTTCCGATATTATGTGGAAATATGTATAGTATTATACGGGCCTGTATTATTTGTTCCACAAAATAATTGTTCCAATTACTATTTGTTCCACAAACTACTTGTTCCAAATGTGGAGCAAATAGTTTTTGGAACAAATAGTAATTGGAACAAATATTTCGTGGAACAAATAATTATTGGAACAAATATGTTGCGGATCAAATAGTAATTGGAACAAATTATTTGTGGATCTTAATAATATTTTTTTTGGAACAAAAATTATTTTTTTTTAAGTACTATTTGTTCCACAAAACAATTTTCCACAAAACAATTTTCTTAACCCTGTGACCCACTTGGGGAGGTGTTGCACAGCAAGTCGGGGGATATTTTCGATTTGCGGAGCGGAGCGACGGCGCCGAGGAGCGTAGCGACGAGTGCCGCTAGCACCGCATCACTGTACGATGTTTTTTTCAAATTGGTGGCTCGGTGCAACAAAAATGCAATTTTCTCAACCCTGTGACCCACTTGGGGAGGTGTTGCACAGCAAGTCGGGGGATATTTTCGATTTGCGGAGCGGTTAGGAACACTTGGAACAAACGTTTTTTGGAACAAATAGTAATTGGGACAAATATTTTGCGGAACAAATAGTCATCGGAATAATGTTTTGCGGAATAAATAGTAATCGGAACAAGTGTATTGTGGAACAAATAGTAAAACTAGGATGAAATAGTAGTTGGAACAAATATAGTGTGGAACAAATATTTTGTGGAACAATTAGTAGTGATCCGTATTATACTACATTACTATAATACAACTGTTGTATTTTATGATAGCACAGATTATATCACGGACTAAGATATACAGGACTGGACACGACAAGGTTGGAGGGTGTGGGGGGGTTGACTACGAAATGTTTTACAACAGGCAGTGTTCGGGGGGATATTTTCCTTTTAGCATTACTAGCGCCGTCCTAGTGGATACTTATGGAACTAGAACACATCATACAAATTTCTAGTTCCATAAGTATCCACTAAGACGGCGCTAGTAATGCTAAAAGGAAAATATCCCCCCGAACTCCGCCTGTTGTAAAAAATTTCGTAACCACAATATTCATCTCGTGTCCAGTCCTGTATATCTTAGTCCGTGGATTATATTATAAATTATAATAATAACAGACAACAGTAATTTACAGTATACCATTATTGCCACTTGATAAACAACATTTCAAATTTCGATTTCAGAATTCAAATTAACTGCCGTTGACTAATGCCAATTGTTTTAAAGTGTTGACGTTATAATCGTGGTCTGTCGTCTGTACTCTGTAGTCTCTACTATTATACACTCACTATATAGTCACTATTGTTTTAGAGCGAGTTAAAGTTGAAAGTTGAAAGTGCGTAATTTGTGACTCGTAGTGCACTTGTGCCTTCTAGGTATTAAATGTTTTTTATTTAGTACCTAAATTACTGTATGCAATATTTGTAGTAATCGGTAAATAACATTATTAATGATCGTCTTCTTATTTAAGGCTGTCCAGGACTGATTACGATTTTGACAAGTATAACGGAATTTCGGGGACCGTATCCACAGCCTTCATTTAATTACTTGAACAACAAATTATATAATCTGTGTTTGAACCTTGTCGCCAATAGTTATCTTAAATCGTATGTTCCAAGTGAGTACAAAAAACAAATTTGAAACAACTGTCTACGATTAGTCCATACTCTATAGTTTATACAGTAATTTAGTACCTTAGTTCATACTCAAAACTATATATAGATATGTCAGCAAGTAGCACTTCATCTTGGTCAGACAAAAGCGAACAAAAAGTTTTCAAATGTAGCGCAAAAGCGGCTACAAAACACCCATTTTCCATACTCGTAAGACTTGAATAATAATGATTGTATTTTGAAACATACTTATAAAGTAATAATTTAAACAATTTTTTATAACTAGATGATTGGCAATACCAACTGGAGTACTCAACTGACAGAAGCATTAGTTGAATACCATGAAAACAACCATATTTCTAAAATTCAAGTACACAAGGCACAGAGTGTAAAATCAGCCCTTTCTACACTGTCCAATGTTTATGCAGATCTTGTAATTATTTTGTTGGATATAAGTAAGAATGATTGTTTAGTTGATGTAAGTTAATATCTATTTCATTTCCCAATAACTAATAATTATAACAATAGTACCTAATAGGACTAATATATAATTATTACTATAGGTAGAAGTTAATTTATTAGCCCTAGAACCAGCATTATTATGTGGCAGAACCATTTTAGTTAACCCAATAAACAGTATTAAGCGTAAAGATATGGGAGTTTCTTATGAAAATATTGACAATCTTAAAAGAAAATATAACTTACTTATTATACATGGAAATATAGAGGCAAGTAAATTTTTTTTAAATGTGCGTGTTTAAAGTATTATGTAATTTATAAATCTTTTTGTTTCAGAATTACATAAGTAGAATGTTTTTAGCTAGAAGAATCATGGTTTATTCCTACAAAATCAATAAAAACGGTTTACCAAATATTTTAGAGTTTAATTCGGTTGATATGTAGACTAGTAGACTAGCTTTTTTTATATAATTTATAAGTGCATAACAAATAAACATCTATGTAAATATATGTAAAGATTTTATTTATACTTTTTCTACATTTATATCTCAATTAAATAATTAGTTAGCCACAAAATAATAAAAACAACTTTAGTTCTTGCTTTATTATATTGGAGAACTGCTGAATCCTCTATCGGCGTAATGTTTGGGTAGAGTGCGGTCTGATGTTCTTGGAAAACCTGGATCTCCTGGCACACACTGAGAACGAGATTCATGTATTCTCCATCCTGATTTTCTCTCCCAAGTCTTCACATAAAAATAGAAATGTTTATTTGATCTTAAGTTTTGATGGTAACAGTTATTACAGATATTCACAATTATTATTTATTAATATTTTTTTTTTATAAAAGTATGTCATTAATACATTAGCCTTATCGAATAATTTATATGACTTATTTGAGAATCGTTATTATTAATATTCCTTTGAGAAAGAAAATGTTAATAGAAAAATGAATGTATATAAAAAAATAATAAAATAAATTTACAATTATACTATGTATTAAAATTGATTATAAATACTACTAGATAGTATTTATAACAATGGTAGTACATATAGAAACTTAAATGCGGAATTCTATCAAATTTTAACTAAAACTTACATTTGTGTTGTAAAGAACGTAGTATGTACCAATATAAACAATAGTGAGTCCCATCAAAAATTTGCCTGTTACAAACCGTACGTTGAAAGCAGTCCTTTCACCCTAAACATTAAAAACAATTTAATTAGTTATTAATTTATTATACATAAATATAACATATAGTATTTAGGACCTAATTAAACATAAATAATACCAGTAAAAAGGGAACATATTAATTTTGTAAAGATTAATTTGTTTAAAACAGTAATTAATTAAAACGTATATAAATTTGTGTTATACAGATCACTAAACTAATTTAATTAAGACCATAGATTATGCATGCTATTTATAAAACTTTTATCTTGTAACTTTCCTTGAGCGATTTGGGGCACCATGCCATATAAACGTTTAACTTTTATAAATCTAGGTAGTAACATTTGGTAGTATCTGTCTGTAATAATATGAATATAATTATTTTAATGTCCATCATGATCAAACCATTGTATTAGTTTGGTGACTACAACCAATTACATATATTATTGAAGTGTAGATACCTAGTAAACTAATAAGCACCCCACTAATTGTAAAATTTTAAAAAATGTCGCTAACCAAAATATAACTGAATTGATATTGTACCTATACAAATATATAAACATGTTAAATAAGGAATAAGTTGTTACATTTTATATTAAATTTTTTTAAATAGTACACTTACAATTTTTGGGACCAAAAACTCTTGAAATAGATTCATGGGGGCTCTGAATGCACGTCTAATTGGATTGTACAATTCTTCGTACATTTCTGGGACAGCAACCGGTTCATCATGAGACAAGTGTTGATCATGTAAGAATTTTCTACGAAAAGCTCTTTCTTCATCTGTCATGTTAGTAAGTCGTTGCCTTACAAATCTATGTCTTCCTTCCAAATCTATCGGCAATACACCACCGGTTTCATTGGATGGGCCACTAGGGGTCACCGCCGTATTGCTACTATAAAATCTACGAAGAGCATTCATTTTGTAATTTTTCAAAAACTTATGAAAGCTGAAAACTACTTTCAATAAAATAATAAAATATAGTCACGGCACACAGGTAGATAGTTGATAAGAATATGACGGAAAAATAAAAATTATAAAAGGTTATTGGGATAAAAATTATCATATGCCACTATAAATGTAGCCAACAATATTTTGAAAATGTAATCAGACTGGGCAACAGAATATATTTATCACACATACTATCACTGGGGAAGAACCATGGTATGCAAGTATGGTTACAAATCCATCATGGTTTCTGCTTAATGTTTATTATAATTTATAGTATCAGTGTATGGTGTTGGTGTATCACAGAAATCCAGAAGTACAAAACAATATTTAATTTACTCAATATTTTGATTTTTGAATTTCGAAATCTATTCTGTTAATGGGTAATACGACATCAGTCGTGAAGTCCTTAGTCTCCTACTCTCAACTCGCCCCTGTAGCGATAATATCAATATTCTGATCTGTGTGGTCGACTGTCCGGTGAGTACCAGCTACGAGACTGTTGCCATTGCAGCTGCTGAATTAGTCCGTTCGTTGAGAACGTTCTAAATCAGAACTTCTAATGTGACAATAACGTTACGTTTCCAGTTATTAGCTGTAGTTGTTGTCGTCTCGTTGTCAATGGTTTTGCGGATTCTGTTGTCTTGACATCGGCGTACCGGTACCTATATCATCACGAGGACGGATCATGGCCGGGCGTTGGAACGAAACGAGTTGCAATGCACCAGCTGCTGATGTCGCCAATTTCAGAGCCGCTGGGCCGTCTTCAAACCAATCCCCACGGAAGATACAAAGTATCGCGCAGATGAGCTTCTCCAGTAATGGTGTCGGTGGCACGTCGGCTACACCAAATACTTATGTCTCTCCAGTCGCACATTTTGAACCAGTGCAAAGATTTGAGCCGGAGGTTGAACGTATTGCCAAGCATATTCAGAGTATTTGGGCAACTTGTGAGTGTTATAACAATACTGTTATAGACATGTTTATTGTTGTTATTAACTGTATAATAACTTAAATTATGTTAATTGTATACCTAATCAACTTTATTTTAGTTGAAACAATTGTATGTATTTAAATAATTACTATTGTTTTCAGGGAAACAAAGTAAAGTCTTAACTGATACACTGAGTTGTTTTTTTAACTCCAGTCCCGATCCGTACACTTCCTTATTACAATTGATTAATATCATATCAGAAGACAGACTCAAGGGTAAAGCTACTTCAATGGCTCATACGAGTAAGTAAATTCAACATTGATTTTAAATTACCCAGTCTGTTGTATTAAAACAATTTTATTGATTACAGTAACAGAAGAATTTTACAAATGGATAAAATTTAATGAAAGTGAATATGAACATGTTTTAACTGAGGAATTAAAAATTCAAGCATTTAAAATGGTACTTGAAAAGAAAATAAACCTGAACACAATAAACACCATTGTTAAAATTTTCAAGTGTAATACACGTTTAGATTGTATGGAAGAATTAATCAGGGAATCAATTAAACAAAAAAGATTTAAAGAGGTAAATTATTAATATTTGATAATAAAATTATTACTTTACTTAAGCGCGATAGCAGTATATAATATTTTTAATTTAATTTACAGGCATGTTATGCTAGTATGAGTTTGAATATACAAGATAGATTTACTGTTGAAGATTTTTTACTTCCATTGTTTTTCATGAATTTGGTGTGTGTAACAGAAGAATTTTTAGTGACCACTAAATTTCAACAAACAGCTTTGGTAAAATATCTTGATGATTTATTAGTAGAAAATGATGATTGCTTATACTTCTTAGCCAAGTAAGGATTTAATTCTTTTAATTTATATATATATGTATTAAAAATCTATTGTAGTTCAATATTCTCAATAATTGCTAAATATTATTTCAGTCGCCTAAATGTTACACAATCAAATAATAATTTTTCTAATAAAAGTCAAATCAAGACAAATCTAACACGGATAATGAAAAAATATAACATTCCAAACGAATTGGCTCCTAACGTTACTCGACAAAAGAAGAAGGGAGCTTTAGTATACTTGTTTCGTCGTTATCAATCTGGTGCTACTGGTAAATCACAAATACATGTTTATGTCTAAACAATTAGGGATGCACAAAAGTGAAAATTTTTTTAATATATTGATACATCGATAAATTGGTGTATAAAATATTGATATATCAATATGTTTTTAGATACCTTTAATAATAATAATTAAGTATCGTGTATGTAGGTAAAAATTGCCATTTATCAATTAAAATAAATAGTTAAAAAATACCTATTGAATTTCCTAATATTTTTTTTTAATTTATTTACAAAAAAATAATGTTTTACAAAATATAACTAGTGTAATCTTGATTATTCACGTAATAAGGCGGTTTGGCATCTACGGAAAAGCAAATTCCGCTGATAATCAGCTAAATTCAATAATTAAATTATAAAAATATTATTATTATGTAAATCTTGTAATGTTATATATGAAATATTTAAGTTAAATTAAATGAGAACTCCTTTTATTTTTATTTTTTGTGTTAACCAATAACACGGGTTGTACGTTAATTGGATTTGATCATTTACATAGTTTGTTCTACAGAAAATCACTGATAAGTATGTACTTACGAACACTGTATAGAAATATATAATGAATGCGCAGAAATAAAAATAGGTCGATATATCGCTGTATAAAATATTGATTCAAATTTTTTGATGTATCTGAATATTGATGAAACAATATTATTGATAATGTGCATGGTACATTCCTATAAACAATTTTATCATAACTTTTATTTAGGTATTCACGCTTGGAGAGAAATGGCATTAGAATCAATTGGCAATGATGAAACAATGATGTTGGAAGTGGTTAAGATGTTAGAACATTTTGGAGACATTCAAGAGTGTATTTATTTTGCCCAGTTATTTGCTATTGACCCATCGTTATTGCCACCAACCATACAACAGGAGTTACTTTTCTGCGAAAATGCGTAAGTTAAAATTATATATTATGTACTTCTCAAACAATTTATTAATATATTTATATGCTGTTTATTGATAGAAGTGCTGGTATTGATCTATCAATACCAACTGAAGAATACAATACTACAGAATATCATGACTTATCGTTGCCTGATAAACAAATACATATAATTGATTGTGCAACAAAGTTTAATGAATTTTTAGATAAAATTAACATTGAGTTATTTGATGCACATTTGGATGTTTTTGGTTTGGACTGTGAATGGAAACCAGAACTGACAAGTGATAAAAGTGATTTAGCATCCATTCAGCTAGCTACTATTGATTCAATTTACATTTTTCATTTACCACAACTGCAGCCAGCTGAAAGTTTTAAGCTTCATTGGCAAGAATTTTCTATGAACATATTCAGTAATATAAATATATTAAAATTAGGCAAGTACGCATGAAATATCAATATTCATTTAAATATTTTCGTAGTATTATTATTGTTAAGTTGCGATGGAATATGAATTCATATAATTTTCATTTATATAGTGTTATGACTTAATAAGTTAAGATTTTTGTTATTTATGTATTATTGAATTATTTATTACTATTTTAAATTTCTTAGGGTTTGAATGGAAAGGAGATGCGTCAATGATAAGATCTTCATTACCAATTGATAACATACAGCTCCACGGACCTGGATTTATTGATATTAAGTTGTTATGGAAAGAACTAGAGACTAAATGGAATTTTCAGCTTCCATTTCAAAGTACATATAAATTCCTTTATAAGTTCTACAATTTTATATTTTTCCTTAAAAGGATATCAGCACATTATTTATTTTGTCTCTCTGGCCCACCCGCCACATAGAAAGTTTGCTTTTAGCAGAACAAACTGTGTGCTGTTAACTTTATTATTAGAATAAATTTACCTATTCTCAAATTTCAAGTTAAGAAAATTATATGTGTTTGTACATTGGCTATTTTATGATATTTCAATATGTAAGTTATGTGTATTTAAAATATTACAATTTAAAAATGCTCATATTAAATGAACAAATACAGATAATATTATTAACTAAGTTTGATAATAAGTTTTCACTTTAATACTAAAGTTAACAACACAAGATTGATTTTCCCGATTGCAAATTTGCTATGTTGTGCATGGGTCGGAAAAAGAATACAATAGTGTGCTTCGTGTTTAATTTATTTTTCAGGTCCAAATGAAGACATAACCTATAATAGTCTTTCGGATTTAGTGAAATTATGTTTTGGAAGGCCATTAAATAAGACTGAACAGTTTTCAAATTGGGAAAAAATACCATTACGATCAAATCAAATAAAATATGCCGGTAACTATACTGAGGGATTTTTAACATAAAATATTCATTTTTTCTTTATTTTTTTGAGTACATAATTTAAAGTCATAACAAAATTATATTTTTTTCCATGTTTATAATATATTTATATTTTTTTTTGTTTTCACTTCTTGATTCTTAATAAAAAATTAATATATTTTAAGGTATATTGTTTGATTTTTTTCAATATTTAAATTTTGAAAAGCAACATCCAATCATGCACGAAATTTGAAACTTGTGTGCATATAATTGCATATTATGTCATATTCAAGTTTATATTTTAATTCATTGGTCATCAACTTTAAAGTTCTATACAAAGTGATTGATTAATATTTTGTGGGATATCTCTATGCTACTTCAAATCTGACTACTCATCTAAACTTAAAATACTTATAAGTTATAAGTTATAACTAATAAACTACTAGTTTGAAATTCTATTTTTTTTATTCATTTATTTTTTTTGAAATTAAGGCTTTGAGAACTAAGGTCATTAGAATGCTACTAATGATGGAGGGTACTGTTGGTTTGAACACCTGTGTGTATGTGTGGCAAGGATTTGTTACTCACCCATCTGGGTACTAGAACTGGCCGGTGTATACCCTCAGAGCACATTTGTGACTGAATGCAAACATTGAGCTACAAATTCTATTTTATTC